ATACTTTCTATCAATGTGTTACGTCAAATAGCTGCACTGTAATAATACGCAGCATTCATCAGTAGTTAAGGATTTCCTGTAGATGAAAACAGGTTTCCAGACAGCAGACAACTTAAAAGTACCAATTATGAACAGGCAAATAGTTTAAGTTTGCCTTAGCTATGTCAAACATTGGAACCGTTATCCTCTGACATGGTGATCCTCTGTAATTAGTAAGAGCCACGCCAATCAGTGACAGACACCACAAAGATGCGTGACCTTATCATTCCTACTTGTGATACTGGACATCTGCCAGTAATAATGGCATACTATACCAACCACAGAATTTAAATGCCACGACAAAGAACTAAAATTACATTACTCAATTACAAATACATCACAACAAGGCAAAAACATTCAGAAAAGAACACAAACTAACCATGCATGCAAGGTGGGCTCAAACCTGCGGGCCTAAAGCCAGAAATTAAGAGGCGAGGAAACAATGCCATTCTGTACCTACATCGGCAAAGAAACAAACAAAGAAGGTTCAGTACTTCTGCAAAGGACATGAAGTAAAAAGGAATGAGAGGAATAATACAGTGTTTTAAAAACAGTAATAACTGATTCCATGGTTAGTGCATGGCAATTTCCATCAAGCTTGGTTTTGTGAGGGGAGGGAAATACAGAATGACAGCCCTTTACACACAAAGCACACAAGTACCACATTCTTATACTGTGTAAGGTGTCATTTTTCCCCACTTCCATCAAGGCCTTGACCCGACATCAGCTGCAACATTCTGAAGCTGGGGGTGAGGTTCAGACTTTGGGGTGAAGGCTGGGTGATGACACAGTTGTGGTGGGGTGGGGGTTTGATAGTAACTGCTGAGGAATGCCATACACCTCGACCAGTTTCCACCTTCCATCATGCAATGAACACTGTGCCCCAGATGGTGAATTGAAATGTCACCCACTGAGCCCATATCAGTGTGGTGTTCCTGTGCTGGTCACTCAGAACTTTCAGCAGCCAAGTGACCCATAAAAAACAGCATTTCAATATTTATGTAACAAGTAGAAAACAATCTGGGTAAAGAATAGCAGTAGGCACATAAAGAGACAAGAGATATTTCTTCTAATTCCTGTTCTTAATTGCTTATTAGTATAGCTTGCAAATACACAACTCCATTGAGCTAATTTCAGGTGCAAGGTGCCAGAATGGCAGATACATAAACACACAACAGTTTACTCCAATGAGAAATTATTCCATTTTTTTATTTGGTGTTGAAAACCAAGCTGGTATTGCATACCAGATTAACTTGCTTTGTTTTGTGAGTTTTCCATCCCATGCAAAAACTATGAGGAAAATGTATTTTTGCCAGGTGGCTTTGCACAGTCAATGCATTTCATCCATGCAGTTTCTGAAAACATCTATTCTATCTTTAAGTGAGTTTATTCACAGCCTTACAGATCTTATATAATTTCCAGACTGTATTTTTGATAAACCTCCAGTAAATTGAAATAAATAATGGCCTTTAATACTCTGACATTTTATTTTATTTTAAATATGCAGGAGGGGGGAAACCCTATAACTGTGCAGGAAGAAACAGGTGCCACCTACATATGTGGCAGCAAGCCTTTTAACTGGTACAAATTAAAAGCACAGCGTCGCCCTTTACTTACCTCATTACAAATTTTTACCAGTCTGATAGAGAACTGATTTCAAGGTTTTATTGTTTACAAAGCTTTTCACAGTCAGGCTCCAGATTTCACTGAAGATCTCCTATGTCCCTATTCCACTTCAAGGTCCCTGACATCATCTGATCAAATGTTGCTGTCTGTCCCTTGGTCACGCCAAAAACGAAAATGGTGATCAGGCTGTCTCAGTTGCTGCACCTAGGCTGTGGAATAGTCTTCCACTCGCCATCCAATCTATCCCTACTGATGAAAATTTTAAATCTCATCTTAAAACATATTTTCATTAGCTTTTGGCCTCTGCATGATTGTTTTGAAATTGAGGTTGCAATTTTAATTAATTTGTTGTTATTTATTTCATTCATTTTATTTGTCCAAGAGTATTTGTTTCATTGCAGCCTGTACAGTTTGGTCAACTTTGTCGTTTTAAATGGGCTTTATAAATAAACTGACTTGACTTGACAGGCATGTTACCAACAGGTTCCAAGACTGAGAAGGGTAGGTGTTTCAGAAAAAGCTCAGTCACCGACAGGGTACCACCCCTGCAGTTTCAAGATCATAGGTACAGGGGCTTCAATACTGCTGACACAGGCTACTAGCTTGTACCAGGGGTTTAATACATGAAAGCCAAAAATGAAACTCCTCCCACTAAGCTGTGGAGTGGGAGATAGGAGGCAGGGATGTCAGAGAAGCTACTTGTACATAGACCAGCTCAGCGGCTTGGATAACACTGCTGTAAGAAGGACTACAAGCATCTCAAAGCAACAAAGATCAAAGTAGCATCTTGTCTTCTCGGTCTTGGGAAGAACTATGGCTTTTTATAGCCATGCAGCACATACAGAAACAGTTTCCTAAGTAAAACTGACATAAAATATCCTTAACAAAAAGTTGTCTTGAGAATTGTGATTTAGTAATCCCTTGAAAACCAGAATTAATCTAGGTCTGCACCTTTTATGAGGACCAGTATTCATTTTCAAGTTGAAGTTCATTATGGGGCTTGTTTAACAATGGTATTGTGAGCCATGAACTCTTTAAAGTCCCCATACATGTGGCTGATCTTATGCCAATGACTATAGCAACACAAACAGCCCATTCAAAATGAGAAAGGCAGGGAGAAGGACCCAGCTTAACATGAATTCGACTGGACTGCGTTTCCCTGGAGTCCATCAAATAAATGCAATCCCTGGGTCAGCACTTGGTCTTTCCTTTGCCAAAGACAGTGATACCACCCTCAATATCACCCTTTATAAATCCTTTCCAAATTACATTTGACTCCAGCAGTAAATAAAACAAGGGTGAGGACCCAATTTCTAAAAACAATGGTTAAGTAACAATTGACCTCACAAGGAGAATCCAACACAGATCAGAAAGGAAAACTTGGTGGTTTATCACTAGAGTGAAGCAAATCTGCCTCAAAAGGCAACCACTTGGAAAACAGAACCACACAAACCACAATGTATACAAGATGTTGTATGGCTACTTTATTCTGCCGCACACAGTGGATGAGGCATCTGTGCAAGCAAGATGAGTAGCGCAAGATCAGACAGACTATGTACATGTTATGGCCATGTACAGCTCCTATGAACTAATTATAACCCAATGGTGAAGTCAAACCTGAAGTTAACCACAGAAGCATAGTTTCAGACTCGGCAGCAGTCCCAATAAAGCAGACATTTTTGGTGCCTTACTGCTGTTCAACATACCCTGATTACTCAAATATTCTTCACTACTCCTGTCAAACAGTGAATCCCACTGTGTCAGGTCAGTTTTATACCCTGCCGCCCTAAGCTAATCAAAGCCTTTTCATATATAAGCACACACAATAACCCTAGACCCATGAGTCAAGTTTACAGTAAATGGCACAGTGGGCAACAGTGTTTTCTCTCTGGCACATTTCACCTGAAGACAACTTCAACTTCTGACAGTGAACCATACATTGTCTCAGTTGTACTTAAGTCTTTGTTGACAATTTCTTTTTGTTTTTGTCTTTGTTGCACTGTTAGAGTCAAATGTCTAAAAGGAGACTTACACCAGCTGTGACACCACATCCTGGAGAAGCCCTTAAACATATTGTATCTATTATGAAATCATCAAGTATACAGAACAGTGACACAGGCACACACACACCTATATACATAGATAGCACATACATATACACTCAAAGTCACAGCAAAGCTTTGGGTAAGAACATGTGGTCAGCCAGCATCCAGACCTAGGGCAGTTGATGTTAAAGGCCTTGCTCAAGGTTAGAATAATAGTATTACTCTGCTTTCCTAGGGATTTGAACATTCCGGACATAGACAGATCTGCAACTCACTGAGCAACACATTGCCTATACCATGTACCACTAAAGAAAATTAACTGTTATTTATTTACTTTTTAAATAACTGCACTTATTATTATCTTCCTGGATCAAACTTTTATCCCAGAAGTTCTCAGATGACCCCCCCCCCGCCGCCGCCGCCGCGACCGCGCCCCCGGCTGTCCGATGGCTTATTTACAAACACTAAGGGGGCGCCCCATTACGTCCCATCTCCTCCCGGGCCACTGCGACACAACCGTAACGCCCAAAAAAAAAAAAACATACCGATAATGCACCGTCCCCGTACATAAGACTTAGCAATACAGCAAAACGATCATGCTTCTCTGCGTTTTATACGCAAGGGAGACCCCAGCATCAGCTATGCAACACAACAGAGCAAAAGCACCGGCCAATTACATCTTAGATGGTCTCAGTCAGTCAGACACAGATCACTAGATGCAGGTCAAATTTAACAGAGGGGCCGGAGTCTCACCATGAAAAAGCAGATCATGATATAAAAGAAAATTAAGCGCTGTTAATTTAAAGGACTTGTGTGTTGGCACTGTCCGCGTCCAATTTACACACCGCGACGGCCAGGTATCTGCTACAGTGCTGGACGGACAGTTACGTTTAATGTTTACACACATGCGGATGCCCACTTTTACACACCAGTACACTGTTTACACACAGTACGTGTTTGTATGGAGGAGGAGGAGGAGGAGGAGGCCGGCCGGCCAGCCACCGTCAACAGAGACACCGCCGCCCAAGCCCCCTTCGCCCCAGACCTGACCGTTTGACACTTTCAGTTACGCTGGCCAGGCAATGCTGAGTAACGGAGGTTTCGCCAGTGTCCTCTTTGTGGGGAAAAAACGACAAACTGAATAAAAGGGAAGCCTCTGACGCGACAGACAGCGCGCCGTCGCGCGTCCTTTGGATCGCGCGCTCGGCCCCGCGTCCAGGCACCGAGGACTCGCGGCACCCGAGCAAGCGGCCACGGCTGGCTAGTGAACGGGCAGCAGGGCATACAGACCTGGTGGAGGGCAGTGAGTCCATCCACATTGGCGTAGTTGATGTCTGCGCCCCGGTCTAGCAATCGCAGCACCTCTTCGGTGTCGCCGCTCGAGCAGGCGGCCAGGAAGACGGCGCCGTCGTCGAACTTCACCTTCGTCTTCTTCTTCTTTAGTATAGGCGGCTCGAGGTCGGTCTCCGAGCCCAGCCACCGCTTCAGCTGCTCGTTCCTCTTCTGCTTAGCGTCCGCCATCTTCATCCCTCTCTTGCCTTAGCTCCTTATCTCTTTCTGAGGGAGGATATACTTTATACTGCCACTATCCCACAGATCACTGGGCGTGGAAACAAGGGGGGTGGGGGGGGGTACAGGATCGGTGAGCGTCTGGATGGCATACTGAAAACTCGCGAGATGATGACATCACCATTCCAGGCCCTGCAGTATCACGTCATCACTAGTGTTAACAACAAGCAGAGATGTCATGTGACCGACTTCGCTGACCCGTCAATAATGGGCTTTTTTTTTTTGATATTCTAAAATATCTCATTCTAATTTAACTGCCTTTGAGATTAAAAAGATATATATATATATATATATATATATATATATATATAAAGCATTTTTCTTATTTATTATTATTTATTAGGATCACATTATTGCTACATCTACTGCATGGTTTTAGAACTTTTTTTTAAACCAGGAACCCCCACATGAAAACAGAGGCCCCCAGGTTGAAATCCTGTACTTTAATAAAATAGATGTTTGCTCTGCAGCCATTCGTATGATGTGTATTGCAAGCTACAGAACATAGAACTCAACTCCCATGAGAGTAATACAGTGGATTACATTTATAGGTAACATGAATAGATAAATAGATAACTTATGGGTTGGCAGCAAGACTGGCTGGACAGGTGCAAACACGATCACTTTTCTTGTCACTCTTTAGAGTAAGGGTTTGGTGGTTGAGCAATGGTGGCATTCTCAAAATGATTTTACTATAATACAATTATAACATATTACTATATGCAAAGATGGGAGGAGGCAGAGCAATGTGTAATGTGTTTTAACATATTACTGTAATAGCTGTGTCACTCAGGTGTGGTGGGTGGAGTTTGGCTTTTCTGTCTCTGCTTTGGGTAACTGCTTTTGCTCTGACCAGTAGCTGTTATGATGACAGTTACTACATCTATAAAATCAGATCACATACTTTTGTTGTTTGGAATGGTGGAAGACTGAATAAGTTCAAGGCGTTGGAGTAACAATTAATAAGTTGACTAGACGTCCTCAGCTTCCCGAGGGAGGTGTGTATTGCCATGTGCTTAAAAACCAGCTCATGGTTTGGAAGTGGTTTGTTTGCAGAAGTAAACTTGGTTTTTAAGAATGGAGCTTGTTAATGAGCAAGCCTGCTGTAATCACAGAGTCATCAAAGAGTTTCCGAATACTGTCAATCACATTCCTCATATGGGAATGCTTTGGTTCACAAGGGTGACATACTAAAATTAACATGTCAAAATCATATATGCATTTGATAACTCTCTTATTCAAAATACCTTACAGTACAAATCTATTAAATGTCAACAAACACCTGGAATACCTATTCTAAGTCTAATTTAAAAATCTATAGTCATTCACAACTGAGTCATTACAGACAGATAAGCATGTATTGAACTCTGGTTTTATGAAACCAAAAAAATAATCAAAGAAGACAAATCAAAGTTGGTACACTTAGATCAGGGTTCTCAAATTCAAATAACATGGGGGTCATGTTTTAGGAGATCTTCTTACAAGGGGGTCACTTGAGCTATTTTTTATGAGTTGAAAAAAGAAATGATAGAGAGGGAAATGTATATGTATTCTGTTAATCTGTTAAATACAACCATGTCTATGCACATCACGAAAATGAATATTCACAAAGTGGAAAACACAAGATCAATCTATACCGGATTTATGAACTAAGTGAACTAAAAACATGTAATGGGCCATATAAAACTGTCTCGAGGGCCGATTCTGACCCATGCGCTGGCAGTTTGTGGCCTCTGACCTAGATTATTAGCCTGTGGCTGACTATATGTCAGGTGCATACTCAGTGCTGACTCTCCGAGTGCCAGGCCTTCCAGGACCATAGTCATGTGACTTACGAGAAACTGGCCCTCTTGAATCACATCAGCTACAGTGCTTGCAACAGACAAGTCCAAGCCCCTATTCACAGGACTTGAAAGAGACACTTAATCAAAATTGCCTCCCCTTGCCTTTCCCATTCATCCTTTGTATTCCACGTTTTGTCTAATCTAGGTTATTCACCACTGTTGTTTCTCTGAGTTAATTGGCAATTGGCATTTTAATTGAGTCTTTCCAGAGAAATTGTTCCCCTGAAATGATTTGTGAAGCAAAGTATGTTGATGGGAAGCAAAGGGAACAACACAGAGATCTTAAGTATGGCTACAAAATCAGCTGTAGAGGTATATTGTGATTGTGAATTTCCTTAAGACAAAATTAACGATACAGCAACAGGCAAATGATTTCCTTTGTTTCTGACCTGGCTTCTGTGAGTAATTGTACTGCGGCATTTTAAACTTCATAGGTGACCACCTTCTCTATATTTTGTTTGAAGCTCTAATCTGCCTTGATGAATTGGTTACAGTGCTCACAGACCTATTGAAGACACAAGGGAACTCCCAGATATTTACTCTTGCTGCTTCTGCTATGAAGTAGACTGGTGTTTACAAGAGGAGACACCAGAACAGTTAATCACGGGTTATGTGAGATCAGCAAACTAGCAGTACTAACAAGCACCTTCTGAGCTAAACCATCGGCCTGCTGTCAGTCACTGTACCACCCCCATGCCTGACACACAGAATACCCAGAATACATCTCGGTCATGCCACATGCTTTGATCTTATCAATGGACAAAAAAAGATACTTAGATTAAGTCAGCTCTTAATCCACTACACTAAATGTGGCTGTCAGGCGTGCTTTGACATGTTCTCTTTAGCAGCAGATCTGACAGACCTTGCCCTACAAGGAGCTGTGAGTTTTTATTGTGTCTCAGTGAATCATTCAATCATTAAATGCATAGTTTGGATAGAAATGGCTTTAACTGAGTTTTGTACATCATGTCACCTGTCAATGTCATGGGGAGGCTTTGGGTTAATTGTCAAAACCACAAGTTGTTCCATTGTGCTAGCATGCATATTGGCTGCAGTTATTGGCAACATAGCATAACATAGTTTGATTCCTGTCACCGGGGAAAACAACTCTAAAAATATTGGACACTGGTCTTATGACTTGGCTTCTGTCACCCTTATAATTCTAGATACCTTTTCTTTGCTCATACCGGATTATCTTGAGGTAAAGGCATCCCATAAAAATAACATTATTCTTGCCACATGAATACTTATGTTGACATTTTACCTGACATGCTGACATTAAAAAAAGTCCTCCCTGGGGTTAATAAAGTATTATTTTATACTGACACCAGTTTTAGTAACCTGTGGCATAATTAGGAAAACAGACAAAGAAACGAGAACTTGATGGTAATGACTTTACCCCGTAAATAGAGAGCCTGCGAGAGAGAATCACTCGCTGTCACAGCATAGGGTCAATGGTCAGCCAGCTGTATTCTGGTTTTGGCCTGTGTCATCTCAGCTGTTCCTGCTGTTTTGCTTTCTTCATTCCTAGGAGCTTCCTCAACCAAGTGATGAATTGTCTGGTGTCTCCTCTTCCGCTTTCCTTAGTCATGCCTCAGCTTGTCTGCAACGTATGACTTTACTCCTTCATTATTGCCCCTCTGGGCTTGGACCACCAGCCACTCCAGTGGACAGGTGAACCAGCCAGCTAGTCCAATGCCTTCAGCTTTGAAGCCTTACAGCCTCTATGTGACAACTCCCTAAGCAGTCAAGGTGTAGCTCCAGCGAGAGAATATACACCGGGATGGTCAAGCAGAGTGCCAAATGTCTCAGTGATGAGAGCAAGTCATTGCACCTGCAAGGTGAACACAAATATTAACATTCGCGGCAATCAAACCTTGAAGAAAGTCTTATGTTAATACTGGGTTCCTCTGATATTTGTGCTACACTCAAAATGGACTGATGTGTGCCAAAATATAACCATTGCTCTGGTCCCCTCCTCTCCATCTTCTACTTCTTTTCTGCAGGCATCATGTTACTCTGCTTGCTGGAAGACGTTATTAGAGCAGGAAAAATGAGAAGTAATAGCTTTATAAAATAGCCTGCTGGAGTGACCTTGTTTGAAAGAAAAATGGGCTAATAATAGGACAAATCTAGAGCTGCACACCCACTTGTAATGGGTCTGAACTAAAAGCTAAAATTGGCTACATTAAAAGTGCAGACCAGGAAGAAAAGGGCCACTCAGGTGAGGGTGCAAAGGGACTTCACAGAAGGGACTTCACAGAAGGGACTTCACAGAAGGGACTTCACAGAAGGGTCTGAGTGTGTTTAGTCTCTTCACATTGCCTGGCTGTCGGCTCCCCAAAACACGTCGAGGGCCACTCAAATCCCCACTTACAGTCTCTCTGGTATCTCTGACATCCCATTCCTGGGACAAAACACTTTTTATTGGTAGACACCCATGAGAGGCATTTTATTTGGCAGCATTCGATTGCTTTGGTTTAAGATGGCGAGACTCATGCGTTCATGGGTCACCCTGCTTCTGTGCAGTGAGTGTAGTGAGTATCGTGAAAATTTAGGGGGGGGGGGGGTGATACATATGGTGGAATACTTTAAATACCTAATCCTGTAATGTGAAATGTTGCTGAAAGTGCAGGGTTTTCTTTTTTCATTTTCTTTCACACCACGCTTCTGAACATTTGAATCATTAGCGAATGATATCATTGAATTATTTTATTGTGTGTAACGTATTAAAAAAAGTTTCAAGTCTTTCACGTGGTTTCCCTTGATAGCCACTCTTTGCCACTCTTTGCCAAAGTATGACTTCCCACACCAATTCATCATCTGCTCCAGAAATGCCCGTGTTCCCTTTTCACTGATGCCCCACCTACTTTCACCAGCTCATTGGAGAAATCTCTCTGGGGGGTGTTTATTTCGCTCTTGCTTTGTGCCAAGGTCCTGTCTGTGGGTTCAGGGGTGGCTCCGGTCCAGTATTACCCCATGTGGTCAATGTCTCTCTCCTAATGGGTTGATATTAAAACCTGGATCTGCTCTATGGGCCAGTCATAATTACGGCAACTGTTCACATACCTCCTCCATGTCTCCGAGTTCAAGAGTTCAAGCCTTGCGTCTCACCTCATCACTCTTTACAGTATTTCTCATTTATAAGCCAAAATATCTGCACGGCATTAACATGTGTAAACAATGAAATAATGATACCAGAAGCTT